ATGACTGGCTGATTTTTATGATGAAGAATAACTTCTCATACACCTTTTTATGTAAATACTTGGTGAATTCCAAAAAGAGCATTCATTTTAAACACATATCTGGAAACTTTTTGTTTTTATTTTTTTGAGTTATTTATCTTTAACTCAAGTGTCTGAAATGTCAGAGATCCATCAAAACAGCTTGCCATATATATCATATGTATTTTTAGAGCTCAAATATTATACATATATATATATACAACAATTTTTATTTTTGTGAAGCAGTATAGTAAGACTAAAGAGGCTTAAACTAACATTTGCTAAATTCAGGCCTATATAGTTTTCTGTTGCTTGGAGCCACAAGTAAATGAGGGAATGACTTGGCCTATGAAATTAAAGGAAAATATTTCTTTATCCCTTTGTTCTCCTTTCTAAAGATTATTTATTTGAGAAAGAGAGGGGCAAAGAGACAGAGGGACAAGATGAAAGAGAGAGAGAGAGAGAGGAAAGAAGGAGGAGGAGGAGGAGGAGGAAGGGGGGAAGGAAGAGGTGGGGGAGGAGGAGAAGGAGGAGGAAGAGAAGGGAAGAGAAGGGGAGGAGAGGGGAAGAGAGGGGAGGAGAGGAGAGGAGAGAAGAGGAGAGGAGAAGAGAGGAGAGGAGAGGAGAGGAGAGGAGAGGAGAGGAGAGGAGAGGAGAGGAGAGGAGAGGAGAGGTTCACTTCCCAAGTGCCTACAACAGTTGAGACTGGACCAGGCTAGAGTCAGGAACTGGGAAATCAGTTCAGGTTTCTCACGTAAGAGTCAGCAATGTAACCACTTGAGCCATCACCTGCAGCCTCCCAGGATGCGTATAAGCCAGAAGCTGGAATCAGGAATAGAACTGGGACTTTAATCCATAATGTAGGCATCCCAAGGGGCATTTTTAATCACCATACCAAGCACCTACAACTATATATTTATTCTTATTTTATTGATTTTTATTTATCTGAAAGATGGAGAAATAAGGACAGTCATCTAGTGGTTCACTTCCTAAAAGCCCACAGGATCCAGGACTGGGTCAGGCCAAAATCAGAAGGCCAGAACCCCGTGTAGATGACAGGGATTCAAATAGTTGAGCCATATAATCTACTGCCTCCAAGAGTGTGCATCAGCAGCAAGTTGGGATTGGAAGTGGAGCCAGGACTCAAACCCAGGCACTCCATGGTGTGCGGGTATCCCAAACACCATCTTTACCACTGCGCCCAAAGCTTTTCCCTATTCCTTTTTCCTTGAAAGATGAAAACACTGTGACTCTTTTCCTCTTTCCTTTATTTTCATCCCTTATTTTTCCTCTCTACTATCTCTCTTGCCTTATGTGGCTTTTCTGTTCTTCATAACAAAGCTCAGATTTATCACCATAAAAGCCTCACAAGCTCTAGTGTGTCTCTACCCCTTCAAATTCTGTTGAACTAGGCTTTGCCCTTTTCATGGCAAGCTTGAGAGCATTTTTCTTTGTTAGAATTTTAAAATCTAATTTTAGATTTTCAAAGGGTAGATCTTCCCAACAACCATTGTAATCAAGCATAAAGCTGTTTATTCCTAGTCTTTGACATGATAAAGCACTAGCAGTAGTATGTTAGCCACATCAGCAACATACCTTTAGTTCACCTGACATTTTGTTCCTGCAAAGAGCTTCCTGAAGAATTAGTTGGCACAAGTTTTATGCATTGCAGCTGACACTTTCCCAGCACTACACTAGACCATGAGGATGCCAAAAGTGATTTTCCCTCTTGCCAGTCCTGTGGGAGCAGTGGCATAGCCTGCTTGCAAGGGATAAAATGACTGGTTCATGATGAAGTGTTACATTCACAATGGTGATAATTGCTAATAAGAGCCAATAATGTTGAGTGCTGACTGTATGTCAAGGCCTGTTCTATACAGTTTGCATGAATGCATTCACTTGAACCTCATAATGACCCTGTGAGTAGGTATTACCATTTCGCTGTTCTGTAGATTAAAAAATTGTGGCCCTGAGAAACAAATTAATCCTACAGTTAGTAAGGGGCTAAGTCAGGTTTTAGACCTGGATCTGTGTGAAACCAAAGTCTGTACTCTCCCTGGATCAGTGCTGCCTGGAGGGATTGTCTTGCAGTGTTGAAAATGTTCTCTACCTGATGTGTTGAGCATAGTGGCCACTGCCCCCATGTCGTTTTTTAGCACATTAAATGTGGCTGGCTCATCTGAGGAAGTAATTTCTCATTTCATTTTATTTTAATTAATTTAAATAGCCACATGTGGTTTGTGACTATTAAATTGTACAACATAAGCCTAGATACTTCTGAAGTGTTATTGACTGTAAGCCAATAAAAGAAAAACCAAAGAAGATATGATATATAGAGAAGGTACTGTTCTTTCTCCATTTCTAGAATTTCCCTCACATTAAAACAAAATAAAATTCTGTCTTGGCTGGCGCCGTCGCTCAGTAGGCTAATCCTCCACCTGCGGTGCTGGCACACCGGATTCTAGTCCTGGTCGGGGCGCCGGATTCTGTCCCTGTTGCCCCTCTTCCAGTCCAGCTCTTTGCTGTGGCCCGGGAGTGCAGTGCAGGATAGCCCAAGCGCTTGGGCCCTGCACCCACGTGGGAGACCAGGAGGAAGCACCTGGCTCCTGGCTTCAGATTGGCGCAGCGTGCTGGCCACAACGCACCGGCTATAATGGCCACTTGCAGGGTGAGCCAATGGAAAAAGGAAGACCTTTCTCTCTGTCTCTCTCTCACTGTCTAATTTTGCCTCTCAAAAAAAAAAAAATTCTGTCTTAAGTGTGCTGCTCTATGAAGTAGTCAAACTCAATTAAAAAGGAAATTACTGCCTTCTTGGGTTCAAACACTGTGATAGGCTTTCAGCCTTCCAAATGAATAAGATGAGGATCCTGTCTCCTCAGGGCTCATATCTAGTAGCATAAATGGTAGCTTTCAAACTGGTATTTCACCATTCAGTCCATGGCACAATCTTTCTGGTCTACAGTCCCATAGTGCTGCCCATCAGGCCCCTGAATGGTTATTCTAGCAGTGCCTCTACCAACACTCACTAGTATTGTAGTCTTCTTTATGTGGACCAGAGATTAGGTACTGGAATGAGTTGGTAGTTGGAAGTATGAGAAGTAGTACAGGTTTTCCTGCCTCTGAATTAGCTTGGATGAGATGGCTGTACCCAGCTACAAAACTCTCTTTAGAACATAGGACAACTTAATGCTTCTTTGTTCTAAGTATTAGAATCCAGTCACCAAATCTATGGCAAGAGTAAAACCACATTGAAAATCCTATTAGAATATCCACTTCGTCGATTTCTGAGCATCTGAAAGCAGCATTCCTTTGCTAGGCTGCAACTACTCATTCATTAAGGCCAACTTGGGATCACCCTTTCACTGAAAGTCTTTCCAAGTCACTCATCTTCCTTGAGCATATAATTAATTGCATCATGCAGTAGCTTTACCTGGGGCTTTCTTCATTTTTCTTTTAACACACTCAGAGCATTATTTAAGTGTTCTCAAGCCACGCCCCCCCTCCCCCCCCGCTACTTATTGGAAATACTTTTAAAGATTAAAACTAGAGGGCTGGCATTTGGGGACAGTGGGTTTAGCAAACTGGCATCCCATATGGGTGCCAGTTCATGTCCCAGATGCTCCACTTCCCATCCAGTTCCTTGTTAATGTGTCTGGGAAAGCAGCAGAGAATGGCCCAAGTGTTTGGGCCAATGCACTCACATAGGAGATGGGAGTGGAGCTCCAAGCTCCTGGTTTCAATCTGGCCCAGCCCTAGCTGTTGTGGCCATTTGAGGAGTGAACCAGTGGATACAAGACCTCTCTTTGTTTCTCTGTCTCTCTCTCTCTCTCTCCCTCTTCCTCTCTCCCTCTCTCTCTAAATCTGCCTTTCAAGTAAATAAATAAATCTTTAAAAATAAAATTAAAACTGTTAGGTCATCTAGCTTAAGTTCTTTTTTTAACTTTTATTTAATAAATATAAATTTCCAAAGTACAAGTTTTGGATTATAGCGGCTTTTTCCCCCCATAACCTCCCTCCCATCCACAACCATCCCATCTCCCACTCCCTCTCCCATCCCATTCCTCATCAAGATTCATTTTCAATTATCTTTATGTATAGATCAATTTAGTATATACTAAGAAAAGATTTCAATAGTTTGCACCAGAGTCAATTTTTTAAAAGATATAGAATGTGTGCATTTTTCGTAAAATTTTTTTTATTTATTTTATTTGAAAGAATTAAAGAGAGAGGAGAAGAGAAAGGGAGGGAGGGACATCTTCCATCTGCTGATCCACTCCCGAAAAGGCCACAATGGCCAAGGCTGGGCCAGGGTGAAGCCAGGAGTCAGGAGCTGCTTCTGGATCTCTCACAGGGGTGCAGGTCCCCAAGGCATTGGGTCATCCTCTACTGCTTTCCCAGGTGCATTAGCAGAGAGCTGGATTGGAAGTGGAGCAGGTGGAGCTCTAACTGGCATCTGTATGGGATGCCAGCACTGTGGACAGTGGCTTAACCCACTACACCACAGAACCAGCCCCTAGAGTCAATATTTTTTAATGTCAGGAAGATGTCACTTTGTAGGTATTCATACAGAATTGTAAAAATTTTGATTTTAAAATCATATTAAACTTTTACTAACTCAAATGTCATCAGAAGTAAGATGATCTTTAATTAAATTTGTTAGTAGTAATATAAGTATACTTTATATTATGGATCATACTGAACTTTTATAAATATATTTCTTAATTCATTTTACGCAATAGAAGTTATATTCAATCTCTTTTTAAAAATTATATGTTGGACTTTTCTTAACAGTAGTTTAAGTATTTTAAGATTTTTAGTATTTTAAGGTTTTCTAATGGTATAATCTGTTGGCATATTTAAAACCCTCAGAATCACAAGTATAACATGATGTTATAATGTTGAGTTTTAATACTGAATATTTCATTGGAGACTTTGCCATTTCACTTTTTTTTTTTTTTTTTTTTTTTTTTTGAGAGACAAAATTTATTGGGACCTTAATGAATTTATGGCAATTTAAAGTTATACAGCAAGGATTAGAATATCACCAACAGAGAGCACTGGTTGGCTGCGTGCAGGACCATCTCATGGGCAATATTTGTTTTAGTGAGTTCATCATGATTCAGGCCATGACCTTCGGTCTTAGAAGTCTACAAGCTGATCTTGCCCATGTCCTAGAATTCATCCAAATTCAGGAGGTAAATTCACGCTGATTACATCATAATACTTAAATTTCACAACTTCCAGGTGCAGAACATCAGAAAAAGCAGGGTAGCATTGTAAATAATCTTCACTGTCTTCACTGGGTGAACTATTTTACGAATGCACCAAGGAAATGGAGTCATAATGCAATCCCTTTAGACTGGTTTGGGGTGGCAGAAATATATTCCCCTACTTCTCCGGAGGAGGAGGATGCGACTTCAGGCCGGCTGATGCAGGAGGAGGTGCGGAGGGGAGAGTGGTACTACCTCCGTTTGGAGTTCCTTCCGGATAATCCCAGCGCGGAGCTAGGAGACAGCGCTTTTTTGGAGGCTTGGCTTCCCGCGTATTTCCAGGTGGGAGTGTGGACCTCCCGGAGGCACAAGGTTGGTCCCCCATAAGGATTACTGGACCCGGGGCGTCAGCTTTCTCCAGTTGGCCCTGGCAAAGCCGAGAGACCTGAGATTTTTGCCATTTCACTTTTAGAATAGATGTTTACAACTTATTTCCAAAATCTTCGTAAGACTTAGTAAATTGAAATCAAGCCTACAAATGTGTGATGTCACATTTGCTTTGTGCTATTTTGTATTAAAATGAAAAGCATTTTACTATATTGCTATAGAAAGAATTTCAGTTTATAGTCAATGTAAATATGAGTTTTGTGGGGAAATCTGATCAGTTTAATAAAGATTAATTCCGAAAATGCAATCTTGATTTCACAATCTTTCTCTTTACCTTTTTTTTTTTTTTTTTTTTTGACAGGCAGCGTTAAACAGAGAGAGACAGAGAGAAAGGTCTTCCTTTTCCTTTGGTTCACCCCTCAAATGGCTGCTATGGCCGGTGTGCTGCAGCTGGCACGCTGCGCGGGTCCAAAACCAGCAGCCAGGTGCTTCCTCCTGGTCTCCCATATGGATGCAGGGCCCAAGCACTTGGGCCATCCTCCACTGCACTCCCTGGCGACAGCAGAGAGCTGGCCTGGAAAAGGAGCAACCGGGACAGAATCCGGCACCCCAACCGGGACTAGAACCTGGTGTGCCAGCGCCGCAGGCACAGGATTACCCAAGTGAGCCACAGCACCGGCCACCAGTTTTTACTATTTTTATATAACATGATCAGTTACATAGGTGACCACTAATCTGAGGAAGAGATTATTGCTCAATATTAATCTGTAATTTTTTTATTCTTACTTTGACTCCTACAGAATCTGTTTTGGTATATGGCCACTTTGCTGCTTGCAGCAGTATTCCATCATGTTCCCTGCTGGTGATGTCACATGGAGCACAGAGGCCAGTTTTAGCAGATAGCCAGCCTATATGAGGTGGTGTAAGTTTTTAAAATTGTATTATTTGGGGTGGGCATTGTGGCACAGTATGCTGAGATGCTGGTATCTTATATCATAGTGTCAGTTCAAGTTCTGGCTACTCTGTTTCTGATTGAGCTTCCTGCTGATTCATCCTGGTAGGCACTAGATGATGGCTCAAGTGGCTGGGCTTGTGTCACTGATGTGGGAGACCTGGCTCTTGACATTGGCCTGGCACAGCCATGGCTGTTTCAGGCTTTTGGAGAGTGAACCAGAGGATAGAATATTTCTCTCTCTCTCTCTACCTCTCAAGATAAAAATATATATAAAAATTATAGAAAGTAGTATTATGCAATGTACATACTTTTTGCAATAACTTAAATAAGATGTGACCAATTAGGCAAAGTTATATATACTCAGAATTTTTTTTAAATGAGCCTCTTGGTGGAAAAAGAATTTATAAAGCATTATACAAGGGCAGAGATTATTATACCTAACAGAAGTGGGCAGACTTTTTTTTCTTAAAATAGCTAGATAACGAATATTTTAGACTTCTCAAACTAGTCACCTTGCGCAGTAGCTGGAAAGCAGCCATCCACGTGGGTAACATGCTGTGAGCAGAACACTGCTCACAACAACAGGTGGCTGCTGAGGTTTGGCCTGTGGCTCACACTGGCCAATTCTGGCAAAATAAAATGACGCGATTATGCATCTAACCTTCTGCTGTGTTACAGGTCAATCTTAAAGCAACTGAAGTGCTTAATGTAATAAATGCAATCCTCCAGCTATCTAGTTTCTGAATGAGTTTACTAGTGTAAGGAAATAAGAGACTAATGCAGCTTGGAATTTTAAATGAATAATTGAAATTTTTAAAAATATCATATCAAGTTTCGTTTCAAGAACTTAAAAAAAAAAACATGGAATACAAACCCAAGCACTTGGCTTCTTATAGGTAAAGTGAAAGTGTCCCTTTCAGTTGCAATTTATATAATATCCTGAAACAAAAAAAATGAAGGTGCTTCGAAAAGTGTGGAAATTGTAATTAAAAGTCAAGTTTGTTTTGTCACAAAAAAGTTTGAAATCCATGCATAGTTTTTTTTATAATACATGTTTTACATAACCTTTTTAAAGACCTCTTAAATAGTTGATTTAAAAAAAATGCTTTGTACCAGAATACATTTATCTTTTAATTCCATTTTCTGTGAATTTCCTGAAGTACTCACATGGATCAAGATAAACAGTGGAGAAAGTAAAGGGAAACTGAAACCCTTTACAAGAATCCTGAGAGGAAAAAAGTTGTTGCTCTCTTATTCAGTCATTTTTAATTCCAGAAAATAATAAATGAAATATAATTTGAAAAGTGTGAAAAATATGCTCCGTGGCAAAAATTGTCTATGAACTAAAACTTCCTCCTTAACTTCATATGGTTCCTTGAAACTATGCTGTTTCCTGGAATTCTTATTAGGAATTCTCCAAAGTCAAGAATCAATTTGCTGACAGTCTTATGGATGTGAACAGAGGGGGGGTTGTTGCACTGAGAGCTCCAGCAAGAAGCTGGAGTGCATTTTGGGTATTGAGCATGGAACCTGGAACATTTCTACTGATAACAGTATAGCTCTGATTTATTTATTTATTTTCCCACTTTGAAATGCTGATGAAAAGAAACACATTATTTTTGAAAAATTCCACTATGACCAATTCTGGGACAAATTATCTGTTACTGGGGAATTTTCTTTAAATGAAATCATGGCTGAAATATGTAAGAGCTTGAAACAGGAATCTCCCCTCAAATCTCAGTAGAAAATAAGTGCTTTGAAGTCCAAAGGAAAGTGGCATGTACTTTCTGTTTTTCTTTGCAGGAATTGACATTGTTTCCTAGGCATTTAGTTTTGGCTAGCTTCGTTGAGGTTCTTTAAACAGAGGCATTTGGTATTTTGTGGTAGCCTATGAAAGCTATTCCTGTCTGATGTGAGGATGAGCCAGGAATCTAGTGTAGGTGAAATTAAGGACCTCAAATATCTCTTTAATTTGAATACTGAAAGCAGTCATTCAAGGGTAAGGTGTTGCTTGGTGAGCCCTGCCTTGACTATAGCAAGGATCCTGGAAGGCACTCTTTGGCTGGAAGTTTTTATTTTGTATCAATAATTGGGAAACAGAATAGCTTCTATGGTATAGAAACCCTGGCTGCAGTATTTGTGCCAATCTAATCTCACTTGGAGTGTTTATCATGATCTTTGTTTTGCTTTTTGTATTTGGAGAAAGGCAGAATTTGGGTACGGAGTGGGTTAATACAGGTCTCATTTGTGCATTTGTTCATCTTTATTTCAGCCATAGCTGCAATCTACAGACTTGGGTGGCCCTATTGACCATTTTAACTCAATTTGCTTAAGCCCTTTGCTTCTTACTTTCTGATTATCAAAGTAATATGTGCTTTTGTACGAGTGAAAACTCCTGGAGCCAGTGCTGTGGTGTAGCAGGTAAGGCTGCTGGCTGCAATGCTGGCATCCCATATGGGAGCCCGTTGGAGATCCGGCTGCTCCACTTCCAATCCAGCTCTCTGCTATGACCTGGGAAAGCAGAAGATGGCCAAAGTGCCTGGGCCCCTGCACCCAGGTGGGAGACCCAGAGGAAGCTCCTGGCTCCTGGCTTCAGATCGGTACAGCTCCGGCCATTGCAGCTATCTGGGGAGTGAACCATCAGATGGAAGACACCTCTCTCTCCCACTGCCTCTGCTTCTCTGTAACTCTGCTTTTTAAATAATAAATAAATAAATCTTTAAAAAGAAAGAGTATGGGGCCGAGCGATGGCTCACTTGGTTAATCCTCCACCTGCCGCGCTGTCATCCCATATGGGTGCCGAGTTCTAGTCCTGGTTGCTCTTCTTCCAGTCCAGCTCTCTGCTGTGGCCCGGAAAGGCAGTGGAGGATGGCCCAAGTGCTTGGGCACCTGCACCCATGTTGGAGACCAAGAAGAAGCACCTGGCTCCTGGCTTCAGGTCGGTACAGCGCCAGCCATTGCAGCCATTTGGGGGGTGAACCAACGGAAAGAAGACCTTTCTCTGTCTCTCTCTCTCTCTCTCACTAACTCTGTCAAATAAATAAAAATAAAAATAAAAAAGAGTCAAAACTACTGGAAAGTGTAAAGTGAGAAAAATATCTGTTATGCAATTACTGAGTCAAATTATTATTTGATTCTTTCCAGGTCATTTTTACTACACAGGTAATGTAAAATGGTTTACAAATGCCTGCTTATTGTAACAACAAATTGTGACATTTCCCTGTGATATTACAGAAGTGCAGTACATATTATTTTAGTACACATGATACTTCCATTTAAAATGTGTCATAATCCATCACTGATTTCTATAACTTAAATTATTAAAAGTAGTATTTTAGGGGTTGATGTTATAATGCAGTGGGCAGAGGCAGAGAGATCAGTAAACAGCCTGTGAAGTTCACTTCTGAATGTGGGATATATGAGTTAGCAAAACATTCTTCCCTTTTCTTCACCTATGAGTGATCCCTTAAGATGCAGTTTGTGTACTTTTGTGCACTTGGAAGTGCCCAGCTCTGCAGTACTGCCTTGTGTTGGCTGCTCTGTCTACTTCCTGATTTTTCCCTTGTTAACCTTCCCTCACTTTCCTGGAATGGCATTCCTTAGTAAAATATTTGTTCTGTGTCTCATGAGGGTGCCATTCCTTTATTGTTGTTCTATTGGAATTCCTTTGCTGATCTGTGGATTATTTAAAAATACATTGCTTAATTTTCAAGCACTTGAGGAGTTTACTAATTATCATTTTTGTTTCTTGGTTTCACAGCTAGAATCTGTTAGAAAATTAAAACATTGAATAATTTCAGTTCTGTTAATTTTGTAATGGCTTGCTTTAAGGCTCAACATAAACTTAATTTTGGCAACTGTACTAAGAGGACTTGAGAAAAGTATGAATTTTGCCATTGTTGACAACAAGACTTAGTATATATCATGTATATCAACTTTATTAATTGTTTTTTTCAGACCTACTATATCCTTACTGCTTGTTGTATCAGCTTTTAAAATTTGATTAACATTTAATACTAGTACATTATTCAGGATTTCAGTGCAGTATTTCAACATCGCAGAAACTGATGAAATGAGATAATTTGTATTTCCATTTCCTTATCT